AATCAGCCTTCACTACCGTTTGATTATCACAAAGAGACTCACTCTGGTTGTCTTTTTTTATAAAAAAGACTAATGAGATGACAAATCTCATCCCTGGCAAACACCGGTCCATTCCACCTCCCTCTGATTTTGTCATTTGCAATACATTGTATAGATGGGATAATGCCACATGCAACCTTTTGAGAGTGGCTTTTCCCATTCAGCATAATTCCCTTGAGATCCACTCAAGCATGTTATTTCTTTCCTGCCAAGAAATAGTTCACTGTGTGGATGTACTATAGTCTGTTGATGTACTCACTCATTAAGTACATGTGGGCCGTTTCTACTTTGGTTTGTAAATAAAACTGCTATAAATATATACATACAGGTTTTTGTGGCAATGCAAGTTTTCAATTCTCTAGGATAAATATCCAGAAATATAATGACTGGGTCATATGGCAAATGTATATTTAACTTCCTAAGAAACGTGCCAAGCTGTTTTTCCAAGCGTTTGCACTACTTTACATTTCCACTATCAATATATGAGAGATCCAGATTTTTGCCAGTACTTGATATTGTCAGTGTTTTTTATTTTAGCCAGGCTGATTGGTGTGTATATGTACTATAATTTTTAACAAAATTTGTTGATCTATGTCTTCACCTAGCTAAATCAATGTGAAATGTGGGGACTGACAAGCAAGCAAACTTAACTGAAGAAACAAACGTGGAATCCAACATCTATTTATCTATCAACAATGCTTGAGCTATGGATATTTTAAGGCTATTCTATGGCTTTCAGTCTTTACACTGAGCAATGCCAATTTGTATGCATTTTCCAGAGTACACTTTGGTGATCATGTGAAAATAGTAAGTTTCTTAAGACTGCTATTAATACTCTCAGCTTTTCTTATTAAAGAATCAGTGGGAGACTAGGGTTGTGACTCAGTGGTAGAGCATTTGCCTTGCATGTGTGAGGCACTGGGTTCAATCCTCAGCACCACATAAAAATAAACAAATAAAACAAAGGTATACTGTCCATCTACAACTACCAAAAAAACAACAAAGAAAACACAAAAATAGCAGGTTCAGTTTAGAAGCAGTTTTGTGAATTATGCTTTTTCTCAATAGATAGTTTTATATATTAATGATTTTGCTAGTGAGATGGCATGTAGGATTCCACAGAGCATCAATGTTTTGATTTTGTTGTATTTGGAAATTTGTAAGATCAAAAAACTTTTACTATATTTGTATCTCATATGAAGTTTGCTTTTTGAGAAATCACATCTGCCACCTTATCAAAATCAAGAAAATTAAGTGAATAAATTCTCATCTTGGTTTTTGTCCACATCCTCATTTCTATGTATTAGAAATTCAACCTTAGACTGGTGCATTTTCAAGTTGATTGCATGTGATGCCAATTAACTCTGACCAGAAGATAACAACTGCAAATTAAAACTGAAGTTAAATTGATGAAACACACCACCCTTTAAAACTCTTGTATTGAAAAGTAGACTTTTTTAAAAAATATTTTTTTTAGTTATAGATGGACACAATACCTTTATTTTATTAGTTATTTTTATGTCATATGGGGGATCAAACCCAGTGCCTCACATATACTAGGCAAATGCTCTACCACTGAGCCACAACCCGTCCCTGAAAAGTAGACTTTTAATAACTCAGTTTTAAGATTAAAATGATATTGATTCAGGTGAGGGTAAAGGTTGCATAACACAATTATTTACTATATGCCATTGTAACTAAATATCTCCAAATAATTTCATGTACATAAATAACATATTTTCAATAGGGAATAATTGATTACTGAGTTCAAAAATACACCATAATGTTTGGATTCAAATTTTAAGGAATATTAAAAAGACAATTGAGAAATAAAATACAGATTGCTAAAATGGCTATACTACAACAAGATAAAATTATAAAGGTATAATAAATTCATTTAATGGTAAATTATTAATACAAGATATAAATTAACATATTCTTAATTATTTCATTTGTTACAATGCAATGTAATATTTGATTAAAATTTTACGTTATTTGTGAAGAAGATGTAGGACCAAAAGCAGAGCATGAACTTGGTAAATAAAAGTGCATACATAAACTGATCAACCACATTCAGTTTTGAAGAATAATTAAATAAAACTCAATGCATACAATCAGAAATAACCTTATTAATTAACAATAAATCATCATCAGCTGGGTGTGGTGGCACACAGACACAACCATCCCAAGTCTAATTACAAAATAAACATCAGCAACAACCTAAGATTTTGATGGGCACCGAGGGCCAAGCCAACTATATGGAAGTCTGAGCCCCAGCAACTTGGGAGGCTGAGGCAGGAGAGTAGCAAGTTCAAAGCCAGCTCGGGCAACTTAGTGAGACCCTGTCTAAATAAAAAAAAAAGTGCTGGGGATGTAGTTGAGTGTTCAGGAGTTTAATCCCTAGCACTGTCAAAACAAAACAAAACAAACAAATAAACAAACAAACAAAACCCCACCATGAACAAATTTTCCCTATATGTATTAACCATATTTAATAAAAGTAAAATGTCTATATTGCTAAAAATTAAATGATTCAGCAGCTGAAAGTTGTCATTGGAGAGTTTGTGTACTTGGCTGTATTATAAGCATGAGTCTGTTTCTAGGTTCTATCATATCTATTTTTTAATCTATCCTCATCCCAATAGTTAATGATTGCATCAATTATAATTTTGTAATTCTGTGAAGTCTGATAGCATTTCCTCCACTTCTTTTCTCCAGAAGTGTCTTGACTATTCTTGGCTACTTGTTATTCTGCTTGAATTTTAGGCATCAAATAATCCTGTTGTGGTTTGGGTTGAAATTGAGTTGCATTTATAGATTCATTTTAGAGGAATGAATATTTGTATAGTGTTTGGTTTTCATATCCATGAACTTGGTATAACCTCTACATTTATTTAGCTTTTTGTTGTAGTACTTAAGTTTCCAGCATCCCTGAACTAGTTTAGGATTTTTCTCAATAATCTTAATACTTTCTTTTTAATTTAGTGGTGATTTTGACTGGTCTTCACTGCTCCCTGGCAAATCATTACTTAGCCTTGAAGTCTCAGCTCAAATGCCAACTCTTCCTTGAAGCCTTCCTCTAGCACTTTAGGCAGACTTGGAGGATCTTTCTTCCAAGGTCCCTACCACCCAGAATATGTTGCATATAATTACAAGAGCAAATACTTATTGATTAATGACTATATACCAAAGTACTATGTTAAGCACTTTCTGAACATTAATCAGTCTTCAAGATAGCCATTTGAAACCAAAGTTGGTGCTATTCTTTCCATTTATGAGAAAACGAGGTCAGAGAAGGCTATCTGTCCCAGGCACATAGCCAGAATGAGACAGGGCTAGGATATGGATCCAGGCAGTCAATCTGAGAGTACTTGCTCTATGTTATACCCCTTTTAAAGCAGTTGTATTATGTACCATAGTGGTTCATTTGTGCACATTTGTACATCAAGAGAACAAGTTTTGAGTGTACACCCTGGATCAGGCACAGTAATAGACGCTGGCTGGACAGGCTGATGAAATAAATCTGACATTAAATAAAAATCACGCCCATAAACACAAAGGTACAACTTGTGCTAAGTGTCCCCTTGGGAAAGAGGGAGGGGGAACCCGGGGTTATACAAACGTGAATTACAAAAGGAGGAGCTTGGGGGAATGCGTGTTCTTGGGTTCAGGTCACAAGGAAAGAGTCATGAACTTGATTCAAAATGTGTTGAGTTTTAGAGTCTGGAACACACATACGCTGTGAAAAAAATTGCAAACAGTGGTCTGCTCCTGTGGTGGTTGGGGAGACTGGTTCCAGAACCCTCAAGAATACCAAAATTTGTGGATGCCCAAGTCCCTTAAGTAATGCATAGTATTTGCATATAGTCTATACACATCCTCCCTATACTTTAATTCACTTTATACTTAATTTCACTTAAATTCTAGATTTCTTATAATACCTACTACAACGTAAATGTTATGTAACAGCTACGTAAATAGCAGTGGTTATACTGTATGGTTTAAAGGATAACATGGAAAAAAATCTGTACGTGTTCAGTACAGACACAACCATCCTAAGTCTAATTACAAAACACACGTCAGCGACAACCTAAGATTTTGATGGGCACTGAGGGCCAACTATATGGAAATCTGAGCCTCAGGCATGTGGCCCGTAATCACTGAGGAGCCGGCTTTGGTTATAACCTGTGTAGGCATACGAGTCCTCAAAAGAAAGCTCCAGAATGAGAAAGTAGAAGAGACAGAAAGAAGAAATAGAGGTGCTGTGTCTTTGCGTCCTTCAGTCTCCTTCACAGAATAGGTGCTCAGTCCAGCTTCATTGGCTGAATGAATGTTGGCAGCTGAACGAATGAATGAATGACTCAGCGTAGCTGATTGTGACCCTTCCTCTCTAGATCCCTAGATCCTTCCGTAAAATGGAAATAGCGACCCGGTATGCGCCCGCAGCAGCGTCTTCTGGGATTCAATGCCGCCGCTCCAGGCTGCACACACTTTACCAAGAGGGGAGTCCGCTGGCTGCGCGCATGTCCGCTGGAGGGCGAAAGCCGTCCACACTGCTGGAGACTGTCATCTCGCCCCCCTTGGCGTTCCCTGGAGAGCGCCCAGGATGCCCTGGGTGAGCGCTGGGACTGGGGATGGGGTCTTGAGTCTGGAGTAGAGCCAACGCCGACGGGAACCAGAGGATCCTGGGGGG